GACCCTTCATTTTTTTATGGTAAAATCTACCTTAAGGTATTATAAGTAGGTGCCCTTTGAAAGATGAAAAGACTACACCAATGCAGAATGTTTTTAACAATCAAAGCTAAATACAGTCCAGGAATCCACTGTTCAGATAGCGATCTCTTGGAGACAAAAGGGAAGCAGAAAGAATAGAAGTAACATGTCCTGAATTTTGCAAAGCATAACCTATGCCGACTCAATAAAGTTTTTAGCGAATGTGTCAGAAACCCTTCCAAAGCTTTGGTATCTGTTTTGGGGTCTTTCGCTGTATACTTTATGATGTTTTTACTTAGATTAAATGGCAGAAATTTAAATTAAATTAAAATAAATAACCAATGCAAAGTGCTTAGCATACCTGGCAACAGAGTAATAGCATCTATTGTAATTATTATAGGGAGAGTTTTTGTTAATTATAAATTAGTTTTCTAGAAATTGAGCATTACTTAAGATACTTCTGTATGATACCAGTTACCTATTTGGTCACATTCATTTGTTTAAATGATGAAAACTTTTTTTGTTTTTTGAGTTGGAGTCTCACTCTGGTTGCCCAGGCTGAAGTACAGTAGCACACTCACAGCCCCTGCAACCTCGTCCTGCTGGGTTTAGGCGATCCTTCTGCCTCAGTCTTCCAAGTAGCTGGAATCTCAGACGCACACCACCATGGCTGACTAGATGAAAAGCTTTTAATATTTTTCCCCATTCTTTGTAATTCAAGTTCTTGATATCAGAGGCCATAGCCAGAGTCTCTATACTTTTTTTACCTGGTTTGCTCTACCTTATAAGATGCAACCCACACTAACATTGAAATTGGCTTTTTACTTTGGGAGTCGTTATTTTGTGCATTTGGAAAAATCTTTATAAGCATACTGATGTGCTAAGATGAGCAAGACAAGTCTCTGCTGTCAAGGAGCTCACCATGGAGAAAAGCCAGCAGGTATATTACCATAATGTTCAGGAAGCAGCTGTCCGGGCCACTTGCGGGGGTCCCGCCCCGCAAGGGTCGTGAGATTTCCTGAAGGAGAGACGGATAGGCGAAGGGCGAAAATATTATACCCAGACACCTGCTTCCTGAACAGATGACAATTTAATGTTAGTTAACACAGAGCTTTTATACCATTTGTAAAGGGGCAAGACAAAGAAAATTCCTTCACGTACATATCCTCTACAAGTTACCATCATCTAGTGGTCTTAGCAACAAACAAGCCAAGAACCCTATAAACATTCAGACAATGAGTCTTGATATTCCTAAGGCCAAAGATGATAGTTTTAGTCCAAAGTCCCGAATTACAGTCCTTGAACTGTCTCTAGAAAGTTTAGCAATAGTTTTCCTTCTGGGGCTTTATGACCTTCAGAGCTTGTAATCGCCTTTCTTGTCCAGGTGTCTCCGTTACTTTTCTCTTATCCTGCAGTGCTTGTTTCTAAAGAAAACTCAAAAGAAGCTTTTAGTAATGTTTCCCAGGCCCCCAAGGTTGCTTTCCGTCTTTAGCTAAGTTATCATAAAAGTGTCTGATTAGTATATTATGAGTTCAGTGAAAACCCATTCTATAAATGTTAACTTAGAGTTTTAACTATTGAATTAAGTAAAAACCTTAACGATTAATCTTTATCCTAAGTCAGTGAAAACAGTGTTATAAATCAACTACATAACTCCTAGATAAGTGTTAGGACTTATAATGAATTCATAATGAACTTACTATAAACTTGTGCTTCTAAAAAACCTTATGTCTAAACACTAAACTACATAATTCTAAATCAAATAAGGAGTGAATATACTTATATCACTTATGACTTAAGCAATATCTAGTAACTTATAGCCAAGTGAAAGAAAGCATTCTTGATGTGCTTCAGAGTTTAACCCTTGCATATGTTAGAAAAGGCCAAGTGGCATAGTGGGAAATGGAAAAATGAACCATGACATTTCCAGGTTAGCTGTGAGTACTTCGCATAAACATGCCATTTTCTTCTTCCACAACTGCACAGAATTTCTTCAGCCATACCAACGGCAAAGACGGAAGACAGAAGGGCCTCAGCTGTCCAGGCTCGCTTTGCGGCCTGGGGGGTCCTCAGCGCACCTGGACTTTGTCAATCAGGCGGGCCTCCAAGGCTGGCTCCCAACACCATAAGATAAGTAGGAAAGACAGGAACCCAGAATAATGTCTAATGTTTAATTTTATAATTAAAATCTTCTAGTGAGTTAAAAGCCCAAGTTATTGTGACTAGTGCTGGTTGGGTTAGACATTAGACATTTTTCTGGGTTCACCTAGAGTGGGTCTACTCAACGTTGGGGAAGGTGGTCAGGGGAGAGAGGTTTCCTGAATGTTAGGGTCACTAAACTGAATCTTAAAGAACCCACGCTAATTAGCCAAGTTAAAAAGCAGTAGAAGTCAGGCTCGGTGGCTCAGCCTGTAATCCCACACCTTTGGGAGGCTGAGGTGAGTGGATTGCCCGAGCCCGCGGGTTCGAGACCCACCTGGGCAACATGGCAAGACCTCTCATCTCTACAATAAATCAAAAAATGAGCCGGGCGTGGTAGCGCGTGTCTGTAGTTCCAGCTCCTTGGAAGGCTGAAGTGGAAGGACTGCTGGAGCCCAGCCGGTTGAGGCTGCGGTGGCCGGGAGCGCCCAGACTCCAGTCTGGGCGACAGAGTGAGACTCCAACTCAAAAACAAACAAACAAACAAACAAAAAGCAGTAGGAATAGAGGAAGAAAAGGGATTGCTGGAGAACAGCTTGCAAAAAGATCCTGAAACAGAAGCAAGGAAGCATTCAAAGAGGGCTTGTCAAGAGCCAAGGACATAAAGAGCCCTGTTAAACTGTACTTAAAGAGTGTTATCTTTGTCCTTAGGTCATGAGGAAAATGTCAAACTACAATTTGTGAAATTAAACCTTTTAAAGATCACTCAGCCTCAGTATGAAGAACGATTGGATGACAAAGACCAGTCATGAAGATTCCTAACTAAGGTCTGGAAACCCTACTAAGAAGTAGACAGACTAGCACTTTGGGAGGCGGAGGCGAGAGGAATACCTGAGTCCATGGGTTCGAGACCGGCCTGGGCAACATGGCAAGACCTCGTCTCTACATTAAATTAAAAAAAAAAAATCATCCGGGCGTAGTGGCAAGCGCTGTAGTTCCAGCTTCTTGGAAGGCTGAGGTGGAAGGATCACCTGAGCTTAGAAAGTCGAGGCTGCAACAGCCGTGATCATGCCGCTGCACTCCAGCCCAGGCAAAAGAGTGAGACTCTGACAAAAAAACAAAGCAAAGCAAAAAAGAAGTCGACAGACTTATGAGAAATTAGATGTGAGAGATTGGGGAAATAGAGGAACCCAGAATAATTCCCAGGTTTCTGACTTAGCAGATGAAAGACAGTGGTGCACAGGAGGAAAAGCAGATTGTAATGGTGATGTGAGTCAGAGATGGCTATAGGACATCCAAGAGAAAACATAAACAGGCATTGGATACATGGTCCTGAAGCTCAGGAAAGAAGTGTGGACTAACACAATAGTTTAGGAATATAAAAGCGATAATGCCCAGATTTGAACAAGGGAAGCCACCTCTCATGATTCAATCCCCTGTGAGAAAGGTTTATAATTAAAATCTTCTAGTAACTAGTAAGTTAAAAGCCCAAGTTATTGTGACTAGTGCTGGTTGGGTTTGAACATTAGACATTGTATTTGTTAATCGAATATCTACATACAGTTTTAGTGCTATGCAGCTTTAAATGTCCATGTTAGCAAGTGATATGAGAACCCCAAACCCCAGATTAATATTTGGAAACCACACAAATATCAACTTAAGATATTAAGGTAAAAATAATGTAGGTTCCTGACTTCTGTATGTGAATAAATAACCATTCCCTCCCTGTGGGCAAACCATGGGCTTTGTACTAATACATCTGCACCACCTGACCACTCCCACCCCACCCTCCCACAGGCTCTGTCAGCACTACAAGATCCCCAGCTGAATTTCACCAGTGGCTGTAGGACACAACAAGGGTAACTGCCACCACTGGCCATAGATTTCACCATGATGGTGGCAGTGTGGATGGAGAGTAATGGACAAAAAGATAAATACTCTTTTTGATACCAAGTCTACAGGGCACTAGGTCTGTCTTACTTCAAGCATCTGTTGTAACCAAATTCTCTTGAAAGAGTATGTCAGAAAGAAAAAGAAAAAATAAACAGCCAAACACAATTACCAGAAAAGGGTTTCAATATTGATGAAGTTTTCGATTAGAATTTAGAATGATTCTGGTCTATTAAATCCGTTAGTACGCTCCCCTGTCCCTTAAACCCTTCAGAACTGTACTAGTTTTTCATGATATCAAAAGTCAAAACAGCACAAGTTGCTCGTGGCATAAATGCTGGAAAGTATCTCCTATTACTTGAAGGACTATGAAGGATTTAGACTTCCACATGTAAAATGATCGTGGCCTCTTTTCTAGGCTTTGTAAATTGACCTTTTGGGGAATAACTTTCATAGGTCAGTTAGTCCACCAGACTAATTAAATTAAAGAGAATAATTCCTACAACCTGTACTAAGTGTTGGTGGAGTGTAACCCATTGCCTTTGAATGACGAGGATAAAGTATGCTATTGTAGATTCCACATATTCTTTGCCTCTTATCTCTACTCCAGTCCTGCTTCTAGCCTTTGGAAGTACATGTATGTCTCCAGTACCCTGACATTATGTGTTCCTTTAGCTTCTGATCACGTTACCCTGTCTTCATAACTCTCTAGTGAGTTATGTTGAGACAAACCTCCTGCTCCTCTGTTAGGAGAGGCTAGTCAGTGCTAGCTTTCACGTCATTTCATGCCCCTGTTCATCATTTAACCTCCATTCTGCCCCTTCATGTGAAAACCATTCTTTATCTGAGCTTGAAAGTCTCATCATTCATTCACTTTTTTCCCCCCTCGAATCCCTTAAGCGCTCTAATGCCTGTGTGAGTATGGGTATGGATTAAACAGCACTCAAAATGTACACAAGTTATTGTGAAACATAATGATATTTTATTCGTTCATTCCAAGTAAACACATGGAGCCAAACTACAAATTACATTGCTATTAAAGTTAGACAGAAAATCCCACCCCATAAGGCTTCTGAGGTTTGGTACAGTAGTTTGTCTTGATGGCCTCATGTATACAGTCACTATAGTCAGTATCACACTTGCCACAGTTACAGCTGACAGCAACAGGATAGGAAAAGTAAGGAGCAACATGGTGTGGGCATCCCGGTATTTCCACAGTTCGATAGATGAAGTCTCTATATGTGCAAACATCCTGAGACAGGGCATATTTAGGAAGAAATAGCTTGCCATTGATATCCTAAGGAAAGAACAGAAAAGAGAGCATAATGTGATAGGACTTTAGGAAAGATAGATGGAAACAGATAAAAATCAATTATGTTCCTTTGTCACAAATACAACTGGGAAAGGATTCCGTAACCCCATCCCAGATACCAACCTAACACAACCACTCTGCTCTGAATCCTACAGAGGCAGAAGTGATTCTTTGATTCTTGATCATGGGAACAAAATAAGGTTTAAATAAATCTGAGACATAAGACTGTTAAAAAATGATCTGTACCCATTATGCCAAGTAGTCCATGTAATATTTTAACCTGTGCACTCTACTTCTAAGGAGTCAATAACCATTAGATTTGGAAAGTGAGATTGTGATTTATCTCATTTCTTTTCTAGACAGGAATAGACTCCTTTAAGGTTTATATAATTTATAGCCAAGAGAATGAGATGAACTACATACCCGTGTCATACAATATCCAGCACAGATGGTGGTGTTGATGGTTAGGCAATAAGCACACTCTTCCTTTTCGATGTGCATTATATACTCGATGGGAATACAAAAAGACATTGCTTGTCCACATGTAAGGCCAAAAAGCATGGACATCAGGAAGATAGCAGTCATGCTAAATTAAAGATAAAATTAAAGAACTTGTAACATGTATCTTTTCAGAACATTCAGCAAGAACATTTGGAAAGAGCATATGTATGTACAAGTATACACACGTAACCAATAGTAATAATAACGGCTGCCATTTATTGAATACCTACTTTGTCCTAGGTCCTGTAGTCAATGTGTACATATTTAATACTCTCAATAACTTTCCAATATACATTTAGATGTGTCTATGATTCACATACCCCACAGGATAAGAACTCACATAGGGGAGGTCTTGCTCACCAGAGTCACAAAACGCTACGGGGCAGTGAGATGGGAAGCCTGAAACACCACAACAGAAAAATGGCAGAGAGGTCGATGTCAACTAAGTGTGAAATAATTCATGCAGTGGATAAACAACTCAAATACCTTCCTTTATGATTATAAGAAGTGAGTTCCCAGTTATGTTTAAGGAAGGCTTTTCCCAGAACTACAGTTTTCTAAAACTTTGGTTCAATAACTTGTTTGGTTATAATAAAAAAGGAACAAGAAACCAAGAAAAATGATAGCCAAACTACACCACCATCCCAATGCATATAATCTCGTGTGTAGCCCTACCCACTGACGCTCACGGCAGAAACCACGAAGCCAAAGAAAGTCCAGAAGGGGCTTGCTCAGGAATTTAGGACTCCTCCTTTCTGAACACTTAGGATATTCCTTCAAGGTTGCAAGAAGCAGAGTTTGAACAAATAAGAGATCATTTTGCACAGAAGATGTATGGAATTCTTTTTCTTTTTTTTCTTTCTTTCTTACTTTTTTTTTTTTTTGAGTTGGAGTCTCACTCTGTCGCTCAGGCTAGAGCGCAGGGACATGCTCACAGCCACTGCAGCCTCAACCTGCTGGGCCCTGGCGATCCTTCCGCCTCAGCCTTCCAAGTAGCTGAAACTACAGGCGCACGCTACCACGCTCAGCTAATTTTTTGATTTATTGTAGAGACGTTGTCTCACCAAGTTGCCCAGGCTGGGCTCAAACCCCTGGGCTCAGACAATCCTTCCACCTCGGCCTCCCAAAGCGCTGGAATTATAAGCTTGAGCCAGTATGGAATTCTTTATCTCAGAAATAGTATGGAGGTAAAAAAAAAAAAAAAAAGGTTGATACAATGATAATAATACAATTAATTGACAGCTTCATTAGTTTAGCCAGGAATATTAAATAATTTTTCACTGTATGGAAGACAGAAGAGGGTTCACTGCAACTCAGATGGAAGCAGAACATGCATCTTAATATAGTCTATCTCATTGCACTTGTTCAATAACAGTCGGACATTGTAACGATCTGGATAATGTTATAACTTATTTTAGTTCTACTTCTGAGAGAGGGTAATTAAATTTTAGACTTTTGGATGTAAATTGATTATCACAAAGATTAAGAAGATTTTTTTCATCTTCTAAATATTGTACAGTTAGCTTGGTATGCTTGGATATTTTTCCATCTCAAGTAGTATTGTATCTATGAACATAAACTTATTCCATTAAATCATAATTCACTGAACACTTTTATTGAAAAAAGTCAAGATTTTCTCATATTTGTCCACTATATCCCAACAAAATCTTTAAGCTGCATACTCTAAAACCTCTGTTAACTGAAACCTCATAGGCTTAGCCTTAGTTAGCTAGAATTTAGTTTTGTATAAACTTATAAGAAACCGTGGAAACTACATAACACAGGTTACCAGGGATTTATTTTAAATGTCAAATTCCAGGGATTAGTGGTCATTTTAGCCAAGCTCTTACTCCTAGAATGAGAATTTCAGATACATCAGATAAACATATATTGAGCATCTGAGCCAGGAGCTGCGACCACAAATGGACAAAATGTGATTCTTGACCAAAGAACCAACAGTCTAGTGGAGGAGCTAATTATGAATACAAATAATAAAAATACAGATTGTTCTAAGTGCTCTGAAAGAGTCCAGATTATGACTCTGAGACCGATTATTATCAAAGGTTTTCTTACGTTTACTACACTTACTTCTGAATAGATAAGGAAGTGAACTAACCCATTTTAGGAAGACTTCAGTATTAAAGGGAAAAATAAGAAGCGTTTTCTGGTAAACTCTTTTAAATAAAATATACATATTCAAATATTCCTTGGAGTTTTTTGGTATTTTAATTAGGTAGGAAAAAATATAAGAATTCCTCACTCATGGAGTCTGGTTTTCTTGAGTGCTCCTCAAATGTGAACTCCCTCAATGGTATGGAGTTTGTTTCATTATTTCAAACCTAGATATCCTCTGCAGGATCTTAAAAATACCAACTAGGTAAATGATGTAAAGTATCCATCATGATCATTACAGTTCTTGGCTATCTAGACAGCCAGTGAGAGTTTTCATCCTAGAAAATAATTAACTTTGCACATTTTAACTTCTGGCTCTATGAGTCTACAAAAAAAAAGATGTGTAGATTATCCAATTGAAAAAATATTTAAATCAAAACGTAAACAGGAGAAAGTCATGCACATTAATCATTCTCCATTAGGGAACTAATCAGTTGTCTTCCCTTAAGTTAATGGAACTTTTGCTTATCCTTATTGCAAATTGCAAAAGGATAAGAAAACTTCACGCACAAAACCTTCCTGGAGCTCAATTTCCTCATTATAAAAGGATGGTCATGAAGGTCTTTGCAGCATAAATCGTCTGTCATTCGATGTGATAAATAAGCGTCAGGTCCCTGACACTGAGATGGCTAAGAATTCTACATCCAGAGTTGCATTATGTGTAACTGAGCCACTTAATATCCACATGCCTTCATTTTTCATTATGCCCCTTCCTGAAATCATACAAAGAATAAAACAATACATGTGAAACACTTGACACTCTACATAAGAAAGATTATATAATTGTGTAACGCTATATAAATCAGTGTTAGTTAATACTTCTCTCTATGATCTCCCACACTTTCTTCTTTTTTGTCACTTGGATTCTCATTTCTACAACTTAATTTTCTATTCTGAAATTATCATAAATAATTTATTGAGCACCTAAACACAGGGACATGATTTCAGGGAGGGCCTAAATAATAATAGATGCCTTCTTGAGATGCATGACCATATATGTCCCTGCTTTCATATATACTTATTAAGAGATGCTCTTTTTTTTACGCTTTTCTCCCTTTTTCCCCTTCTTTTTGCTCTATTTTTAGTCTTAATAAACACTTTCTTCTCTGATTACTTCCTTCATCAATATTTTCTCTCCGAATTCCTTACTATACTATGCAAAGAATCAATTGCCCATCCTATGCACAGTCCTAGAAAGTCACCAAAGCAGTATATTTTTCCAGAGGGCAAAATGCACTATATGGCAGGTATGTATGTTGAACACTATTGGGTGGGGGTGGAGGTTAGCTAGTAAATAACTAAAAAGACCTGGTAATACAGAGTACATTATCCCTGAAGGTACTCAAAACTGAATTTACTCTAAGATTTCCTAGAAGTATATTTGCATCAAAAATGACCATTAGTACAGCTTGAGAGGATTTAAAACACAGATTATTCGACTGAAAAAAATATTTAAATCAAAACATAATCAGAAGAAAGCCATGCACATCAATCAGTCTCCATTACAGAACCAACCGGCTGTTTCTCTTCCTTTCAGTCAATGGAATTTGCTCTTATTCTTATGTATATAGTTCACTCACCTTCACCTATTACTAAACAGTTTGGAGAAATAATTGAACATTTTAGAGTCTATTGAAGCAAGTTATTTTTCAGCATTTGTTATTTTAAAGCAAAATGGTGACAGCAAAAGAAGATTCGCCCAAGAACATTTCATTTTGCAACCCTTCTCAGTTTAGACACCTACCTTACTTTGCATTGGTGAGCGGATGCTGTGATGACCCAGCCTAAAAGCTTTTGGTTCATTTTATACCCTTCAGGATAATCCCCTTCTGATCTTCTTGTTTATATAATTGCATTTGAATTACTGCTTTCTTATCTGAAAAACATCTATTGAAAATTCATACTGAACCCCAAATAAAATGTGTTTAGACAAACAAGCTCACGATATCTTCCCCTGGAAACTCTGACATTACTGAAGCATGCATTTTCCTCTCTGATTTCAAAATAAAAGTAATCTTTTAAAGATATCTTTTATTCATATTTACTTATTAATATTAATAAAGGAATGGGATAAACCAAAACAATCACACACTTTGGTATTTAACCAAAGATACAGAATGGGAAAAACCAAATTAAAAAAAAAAAAATCTCTACCATCACATAAGTAAGTTTGGGAATGGCCATTTATTTGGGGCTTATGTGCTCCAAATTTTACCTAAATGCACATGTAGAGATTTATCAAATGGTTGCTTATCTACAAAGCAAAGGTAAATTCTTTTTTTTTTTTTTTTTGAGTTGGAGTCTCACTCTGTC